AACTGTTCACTTTAAAATGGTGAATTTAGTATTGTGTGAATTTCATCTCCATTTAAACAGTTTTGTGATGATCTTTACAGAGCTCCGTCATTCATTCATTCACTGAATCTATTCACTCATCCAGCTGACACGTGTGTGCTTCCCGTGGTGTGGAGCAGGTGCCAGGAGCAGGCACTGAAGGGGCAGCAAACACTTCACACACACCCCGCCGTGACTACCCCGCGCCCTCTTTGCCAGGAGCCCATCGTGCAGAACAGGGGTCCTCAAACTTTTTAAACAGGGGGCCAGTTCACTGTCCCTCAGACGGTTGGAGGGCCGGACTATAGTTTAAAAAAAACTAAGAACAAATTCCTATGCACACGGCACATATCTCATTTTGAAGTAAACAAACAAAACGGGAACAAATACAATATCTGTATTTGCATGTGGCCCACGGGCCATAGTTTGAGGACCCCTAGTGCAGAACCATGGTCCTCACGGGTCCAGACTTAAAATGCAAGGCCTGGGATTCTGATTGGGTCGACTGAGATCAGGCCCCGGTGTGAACGGTTTAAACACCAGCCTGATCTGTGTCAGTGGTTGAGACAACCTCTAACCAAGTCCATAAAGAGCCTCACTCTGGGCTTGGAACTACCCTCAGGAAAGCATGCCCGGCACACGTCCACACGTCGAAGGGAAGCCGGCTAAGTCCCCGCAGGTCACCAGTGGGAGGGCGGAGCAGGACTAGCCTGTGTGAACTGGTGTCATGCCTGCCTCTCCCCACTTGGTGGCAGCAAACTGGGCGGGACCTCCAGGCAGTGGGCAGGAGATTTAGATCTACTTGCCTCCCCTGGCCTGGGATGGCTGTGAGGACAGCTGGAGGGAGGAGAGGAAACAGCAAATGCAAAGGCTTGAGCTGGGAGTTCCAGGTTTGGCTGCAGGGTTCACTTTGTAAATGGTATTGTGGTTTTAGGTTCAAATTTTAATCACTCGTTGCTGGGATGCAGGGAAGCAATCAACATTTGCATGTTAACCTGTCTCTTGCACCCTTGCTTTAATTGCTTATTAGCTCCAGGAGGTTTTTTTGTTGAGAGGGAGAGAGAGAGAAACATCAGTGATGAAAGAGAATCATTGATCGGCTGCCTCCTGCACGCCCCACACTGGGGATCGAGCCCACAACCTGGGCATGAGCCCAGACCGGGAATCGAACCATGACCTCCTGGTTCATAGGTCAACACTAAACCACTGAGCCACACCGGCTGGGCTTTGTTGATTCTTTGGGATTTTCCACAATCATGTCATCTGCAGACGAAGGCAGTTTCATTTCTTCCTTCCCTAACTGTTTGGTCTTCTTTTTCCTGTTTTGCTGCATCCGCTAGAGCTTCCAGTGTGATGTTCGGTGGAAGTGTGAAGGGGCCATGACCGTCCCTTTCTGATCCTGGTTTGCTCCGGTGACACTGGTTTCCCCCCAGCTCTCCACCCTGACAGCTGGGCATCTAAGCGTGTGCATGTGGAGATCTGGTCTGCTCCTGGCCCCCTACCCCCCGAACGGGAAGCATGGCCCAGGACCTGCAGGTCAGAGCGCCGCCCACCACACCTGTCTCCTTGGCCCTGACTGGGACTCTGGGCCGCCTGCTGAGTGTCCCGCCTCCTGAACCTTGGATTCCTAGTGGTGGTCCCCAGGTGCCCACAGGACCACAGCCCTGCTCCTTCCGTCTCAACCTGTTCCCCGGGAATCTCCGGATGCTCCTGGATGACCATTCCTATCGTCCACCGTGGCTAGGTCTGCCAGGGACCTTTCTAGATGCCTCCCCAAAGACCTGGTCCCTAGTGGCTGTCCCTATGTGCCCACGGGACTAGAGCCATTCCTCCTGCTTGGGCGTCCTACCTCGTGGGTATTGGTGAGACAAGGTGAACCCGTCTGCTCAGGCCCGTGAGACAATCAGCACGCACAGCCCTCTCAGGGCCCCGTGCCCTGGCATGGCTGTGAGCACCTGCGTGGAGGTGCGGTCTCCTCACCTCCCCTCTCCTCGCCTGCGGAATGCGGCTGTAGGCAGAGCATTACCAGTTCCTCACCATGCCCCAGCCCTTCGGCCCTGTTCTGCTCACGTGAGCGGGAATGGGCCCCAGTACGGCAGTTTGCAGGTGAGCTCTGGGTGAGGTACTGAGGCACCCGGACGACGGAGTCAGTGACGACTGCAGTGACACGCGAGGGGGGCCCAGGCCTGCGGGAGCCCTCGGGTTCTCGGGAAAGACAGGCGGGTGCGCCCCGCACATGAGAGCCAGGGCAGAGAGGTGCGTAGAGGCCGCTGTGCACCTAAGTGACTGAATCTCCCACACCAGCCCCTGCATCCACAGCTGGGGCTGCAAACGCCATCCTGCACCAGAAAGAATTTGGCGGCAAACCTTCAGGTGGCTGCCTGGACAACAGCAGCAGGTCAGAGGTCATGTGCCCAGCACCACCGGCTGTGCCCTCTGCTCACACTCAGAAGTGCTCCCAGGCCCCTCCTGCCTCGTGGGAGCAGCACAAGCGGCTGCAGGAACTGGGAAGAGAAGAGGAGGCCACACGGGGACCCGGGAGGGGTGGGTGTGGCCCTTGTGAGGGCTGCTTCCTCTGCAGCTCAAACTGCCGTCACTGCAGGACCGAATTCGACTCGAAACACAGGAGTCGTCGGTGTGGGGTGCATGCGGGGCAGGAGTAAGCTCCCTCCCTGTGGGCACCAAACCTGTTCTGCTCAACTCCACAGCAGCGTGACTTGGGAGCCCCTGCCTTCCTCGCGGGCTGTCCAGGTGGACCCTGAAGTGTCAGGACTGGCGCAGCCCCCTCTCCCCCAACACTGCCTCACACCCCAAAGCTGAATCCAGCCGGGCCTGGGAACTGCTGGCCTGCAGAGGAAGCTGCCCCTCACGGGGCTGATGGGACCTGCGTAAGCGGGAGGCGCCACGCCCACCAGACTCTCCTGCTGCCTGGGACCCAGAGGCCCCGGGCAGGCCTGGCACTTGATGGCTACATGAGGTCTGGTTTCATTTCAGCTGCTGGCAGCAGCCAGACGGACATGGACGCAGGAGCCCTTCCCAGAGAGCCCAGGAGGTCGCAAAAGCAGCACCCCCACATCTGCCTCCCGCCCTTCTCATTCACCCCTCCCCTCACTCCCTTCCTCCCCTCAGGCAGAACTCTAACATCTCTCAGGGCACTTGGCATGGCCCGTGGAGCTTCTGTCAGCAACACAGACAAGATGGCCCCTGTCTCACAGGAAGAGTCTGTGTGAATGACACTGAAATGAGCCCAGGCCCTGGGGAAAGCTTGTGGGCAGACCCTCCTCCAACCTCAGACTCACGCAGGCCCTCGAGGCCCAAGAGGGACCCCAGGGCCGGAGCACAGAGCTGGCTGAGCTGCAGGAGTCCTGCTCGGAGGAGGTGGGAAATCGTTCCCTGGATCTCATACTTGTATTTGTGGAGAAGCAGCAGCGCTATGTCCCAGCCAATAGACCTGAGTGATGGACAACCAGCAGCCAGCCAGCCACAGCCGCTTCACACAGACCCTGGCTGCCTCCAGCACCAGCTGCCAGCATGGGGCCTGAATATTTAACGCCGTGACTGGTGGGGAGATGGGGGGGGGGGGCAGAGGGGTCTGGCCCGGACATGGAGTCCCTGGGAAATCAGGATGATTATTACTTATTCAAAACCCACTCCGGAACCAGCACGACACTGAAAACACAGGCTGACTGTGCGTCGGTCTGATTTTCAGCTGAGCCGGTCCCTGTGGCCCTAGACTGGGAGTTCTGCCGCAGTGCAGGCGAGGCTCTGGTCAGAGCAGCGCTGTAAAATCAGGAGCAACGCCTTGGACGCAGGAACACCCTAATGGCACAGGGTGCGTATAATCATTGCTCCTTGATAAGCCACAGCAAGATTAACCATCCACCTTGGACAGACACAGCAGGTGGCCACACGTGTCCCAAGTTCATTCAAAGCATTTTCCTATTTCTCCTGTGAATGAAAATGGGGCCACATACTAGCCCTGACAAGGCCTTACAGCTGCAGGACCAAACAGAACCACAGGAGGGTCTGGTCAGATTCCTGCCGGGGTGATCATGGCGGGTACTCGCCGTGCGGCCCAGGCCTACAGCTTTCTCAGCACAGCGAAGCCTTGACCGTGAGCGAGCCCTGTCCACTGTTCGTATACATCTAGGCGCAGTGGTCAGCAAACTCTTTAGTCAACAGAGCCAAATATCAACAGTACAACGATTGAAATTTCTTTGGAGAGTCAAATTTTTTAAACTTAAACTATATAGGTAGGTACACTGTTGTTAACTTAATTAGGGTACTCCTAAGGCTTAGGAAGAGCCACACTCAAGGAGCCAAAGAGCCACATGTGGCTCCCGAGCCGCAGTTTGCCAACCACGGATCTAGGGTAACACATCTTCGAAATGTCAAAGCATTTTCTCCTCCTGACCCTCGAATGCACGGCCACTGGCATCAGGGCTGAGACCACAGACCCCTCATCATTGCCCTGGCCCACCTACCGTCTCCACGTGCAGCAATGGTTAACTGTTAGCCTTCCCGTACCCATCAATGCAAAAGAAGTATGTGTTTCTCCATTTTGCTTTTTTATCCAATCCCAGAGGTTTTGCCTCTCTTCTTTCTCCTGCCCCTTCATTGATCACACATGGCTTTCATGTACCTTCCTTAGGTTTTTCTCCTTTGATTCAAAATACATAAAAGAAACAACAAAACTACCATTTTCTGGACCATTTCTCAATCCATAAAGATCTTGCTTCCAGGCAGCCCTCAACATTTTGGCTTAAGGAAACTCTTATAAAATTTTCCAGGTTTGGATGGTCTTTCATGGACACTTAGTGCAGCATAAAGATTTAAACTGAAAACGAAGTACTATCCTACCTCACCGCCTTGTGCCTCCTTCTCCTGCGGACTCTGACGTGCGGCAGAACCCTCGTCTCCTGGATGGTGATCCCCTGCAAATCAAGACGTTTCAGCTGTAGTTGAAAGAGTTAAGTGTTTTAATTCCAGGGGAAGGTGCACAGCCCACAGCATGCCGCCCATCTCCCCCGGGAAGTGGAGGAAGGTGCCGCCTCAGTTCCCCCACAGCCACGGCACACTTTCCGAGGGCGGGCAGCAGGGAAACTGCAAACCTCGCCTGGCACAGCAGGGCCGCTCACTGTAGACTCATGGCCCTGGAAGCATTCAGGTCCACAGAGAGCTGTGCAGGCTCTTGTGTACCCTGACCGCACCCCCCGCCCCCCAGCCCGGCCTCCCTGACTGCCAACGGTTCTGAAAACTAAGAAGTGAGCGTGGTAACCAGGTCTTCCACGTTCATCAGAGCCTGACCCCCACCCCTGCTTGTCTTCCACGACCACCACCTCGACTTGCACAGTCCACGTCACAGGCTGCAAGTGCTGCGGCATCTTTTCTAGAAGCTTCCAACACTGATGGCTCACCGGGCCAGAGACTCCTCCCTGTCAGTGAATGAGGCCACGTGGAAAGACGTGATACTCGAGGTTATGGGGAACCCAGGCGCTGCTGGTGGCTCAGAGGAACGGAGGTTTAGATAGTCCTACGGCGGCGGGGGGTGGGGGGGGTTCCTCATTCTTAATGTGCCCCATTTCGCCCTTTCTAACTTTGCATTTGCACTTCCAGTGTAAAACATCCCAGGACAACTGCCGAGGACAGCACTGAGCAGGGCTCTCCTGCTCGTCCGCCCCGACAGAGCTTAGAGGGAAGCCCTCGTGTGGGTTGATTATCGCAGGATGGAGTGAGCGAGTCCTGCCCAGACTGATGAGCAGGCCCATGTGCTGGGTAACATTCGGCCACCTCTGCCCTTCAGCTGCCGCCACCACCACCGTCTGGGCGCCCAGGCCAGTCCCTTGTGTCCTGCAGGCTCTGGCTGACTCCACAGTGTGTGAGGGGCAAGTCACATGCGTCATCTCCTGTAGTTCGTCCGAGATCGTCTGTCCAGCCAACATGGGGCCTAGGAAGTGTTCGTGCTCCGCGCCATGTGTCCAAGGGAAGAGAGGGTGACTCCCGCTGGCAGTTTCTACTGAAAGGGTCCTGTCTCCCTCCGTGGCCCGAAGAGGAACCGATGGGAGGCCCAGCCTCTCGGGAGCAGAGGGGCTTCTGGGAAAACACAGGCCCTGTAATGAAAAAGCGACACCCATTAGACAAGGCCCTCCTCTAAAAAGGGTTGCTGTGATGCTTGGAAACAGCAGCTTTCTTGCTGACAGGGAGGCCGGGCTGCAGCACCAGGCCCAAACGCTGGGGAGGCAGAGGGAATGGTGGGAGGAGCCAGGTCAGCGATGGTGCAGCTGAGCTGGTGACCAGTCTCCTGCCTCTGGGCTTCTCTTCGCGTGAGAGAACACACGGCCTCCTTGTTCAAGACGTTTAAAAAGCTATTTGTAGCCAAAAGCACTCTTATCGCTAAGTGGGAGTTCTTTCCTGGACAGCTGTGTGAAGTACATATAGCAGACGTTCTGCTTTCTGCCCATCCTCGAGGCCTGCGGAGAGCATTTCGGCAATTCCCTTTCACGCTACAAAAGCCCAGTCTGTTCGTGACCGCCTCGGCCTTGCCGGTCTGGCCCTGTCTGCCTCTGCCTCACCCCTCGCCCGCAGAGGCCGAGAGGAAGAGGTGAGAATGTGGACTCGGGAACCTGGGTTTGACTCTCCTCATAGGCATGTCTCTTAACACCTCTGTGCCTCAGTTTCCTCCTCTGTAAAATATGGACCCTAAAGTGACCTGTCCGTGAAGAGCCCTGTGGTCCCGACAGAGAACCGTGTTCCTGACATGCACTGAGGCCCCTAACTGCAAGGAGACGTTTGAGGTTTGCTGACGCAGGCTCCGAGGGCCGCCCCGCCTTCCCTGGGGAGCCAGGAGTTCAAGGTCCTTCCTCCCCTGACGACCACGAGGCGGCTCTCAGAGGACGTCCAAGGAAGCCCTTGGTCTTGGTGTGGGAGGAAACTCGGGCGCCTGGGGGGCTCCTAACGTACGCCGGGGGCACCGCTCCGTATGAATGCAGATGTCCAGTCAGTGACAAGACACTGAACTTAAGAATATGACTAGAGCCTTAGCCGGTGTGGCTCAGTGGATAGAACCTCGGCCCTCGGACGGAAGGATCCCAGGTTCGATTCTGGTCAAGCACATGTACCTCAGTTGCAGGCTCGATCCCAGGCCCTGGTCGGGTGAGTGCGAGCAGGAGGCAACCAATCGACGTGTCTCTCTCACATCAATGTTTCTGTCTGTCTCTCCCCATCCCTTCCACTCTCTAAAAATCAGTGGAAAAATAACCTCAGGTGAAGATTAAAAATACATATATTTAAAAAAATAATCTGACTTGACAGTCATTGTTCTCACAACCTGGTGTGATCTTGGCCAGATCAGGACCAAGAACAGTAGAGGTGAGCCAAGTGCACTCTGGGAAAACCTCTGGGTGTCCATTTTCAGGCCTCCTGGCCATCTCCACACACCAGATGATGCTTGTGTGAATTCCGGCTCTGAACAGGCATGTGGGAGCCTGTGTGGGTGACGTGTGCGTGTGTGCCTATGTGTCTGGGGAAGGTTCAGTGTCCAACCAATTACATTTATTTGGTTAAAAACTCATTGATGAATCTTGTTTTTTTTTTAAAAAAAAACATTCATGAGATGCTTTTTACACTTCAAAAAGAAGATAAAAGCACTGTATAACAACACTGAGGATTTTTAACATTTCACTTTTTTAAAAAATATATTTTTATTGATTTCAGAGAGGAAGGGAGAGTGAGAGATAGAAACATCGATGAGAATTATGGATTGGCTGCCTCCTGCACACCCCACACTGGGGATTGAGCCCACAACCCAGGCATGCACCCTGACCGAACTGTGACCTGGTTCATAGGTTAATACTCAACCACTGAGCCACGCCAGCCGGCTAACATCTCACTTTCAAATAATGTGATCTTCTTCCTCCCTGTGGCAGTAAGTGTAGTTACCACTGTGGCAGATGTAGTTACTAAGTGTAGTTACCACTGTGGCAGACAAAATACTGCCCTCACCCCCACGAAAAATGTCCACGTCCTAACCCTGGACCCATGCACCTGTACGCTACAAGACAAAACGGGTTTTGCAGCCGTGAATATGTTAAGGGTCCTGAGATGAGATGACCCTGGCTGTCTGGGTGGCCAATGCCATCGTTTTAAGAGAAAGTCAGAGAAGGAAGAGAGCTGGAGTCAAAGAGATGTGGCACATCTAACCCATTTCTGAGAGTAACTACGTTTCTTTTATCTTTAACACTGGTTATTTAACATTCTCAATTGACTTTTGGAAATGTGAGTTCACATAGCACAGTGATGGCAAACCTATGACACGCGTGTCAGAGGTGACACGCAAACTCATTTTTTTGGTTGATTTTTCTTTGTTAAATGGCATTTAAATATCTACACTAATAAAAGACAAACATGCAAATTGACTGTACTTTCACTATGCCTTAAGCCACGCCCACCAGCCAATCAGAGTGGCTATATGCAAATTAACCCACCCAAGATGGTGGTTAATTTGCATATACTGGCTGGGAGCGAAGACTGAAGACAAAGTGGAAGCGAAGCGCTACAGAAGGGAGCAGAGCAGAGGCGGCGGAGACGGGAACGGAGCCAAGGCTGCGGAGGCGGGAGCGGGAGGGGAAACCCAGCCGCAGCGGGTTTCACTCTTCTCTGCTCCACTCCGGCCGCAGGAGGCCCTATTCTTGCAGGAATCTTCCTGCAACGGGCCTCTAGGATAAAATAAATATCAAAAATATAAGTGTTTGTTTTACTATGGTTGCAAATATCAAAATATTTCTATATGTGACACGGCACCAGAGTTAAGTTAGGGTTTTTCACAATGCTGACACGCCGAGCTCAAAAAGTTCGCCATCACTGATATAGCATGAAGGTAATGGATATTTGTATTTATCAAAAGGCCCAATAAATGAAAGTTTTATAGTAGGATCGTTAACAAGGTTAATAATGTGATTTCTGATCCTTGAGTAATAATAGTCTTGAAGGCTTGCATTTGTGTTTATACTTCCTTAGTAAATGCTCGTTACAAAAAAAAATTCTTGTAGAAGAAAATCGAAGGCTGTGACTGGCACTGGATTTGACCACCAGGAAGAAGGGGGGATGCTGTGGGGGCAGTTTGCCCACCGCTGCTTAAGGACCTGGGGTGCTAAGGGGTGAGCACTAAGGCAGCAGGTGGAGAAAACGGCCAGAGAGGTTGGTTCCATTATGCAAATAAACCAACAGATTGAGGATGATCAAAGCCAGATCTTATACAGCTGGAGAAAGCACTACAAACACAGAAAGGGAGCGGGAGAATAACCCCTGAGGCCTTGGTTTGGAATTGAAGCCATGGATATTAATTTTATTTTATTTTTATTACTCTAAAATATGTTTTCATTGATTTCAGAGAGAGGGAGAAAGAAACATCAATGATGAGAAAGAATCATAGACTGGCTGCCTCTTGCACGCCTCCTACTGGGGATCAAGCCCTAAACCCGGGCTGTGCCCTGATTGGGAATCAAACCGTGACCTCCTGGTTCATAGGTTGATACTCAACAACTGAGCCAAGCCAGCCAAGGAAATCTTGCTTTCTAAATACCATCCTCCATTAAAAAGAAACAGAGGTGTTGGAGAAATGCTGATTCCAGGGCCGGGCCAGAAGATGTTCCATTGAGCCTGGAACATCTTGCGCCAGAAGATAAGGAAGGGTTTGAAGAATGATGTGGACATGTCAAAAGAATTCAGGATCCAGCTGGATGAGGCTCTCAGTGACCAAACTTGAACAATTTGAACATCAAAATAGATAATAATAGCAATAGAATACTACCCATGGAATAAAATACAAATCCATGAATCCATACTGCTATACACAGATGAGTAAAAATTAAAGAGAAGGAAAATCTTTTCCTTAAGAATGCCAACTGGGAGAACCAAGATGGCGGCATAGGTTAACGCCGGAGTTTGCTGCTTTGAACAACTACTTCAAAAGTGAAACCAAAAAACGGAAGGGACATCACCCAGAACCACAGGAATGCTGGCTGAGTGGAAGTCCTACAACTAGGAGGAAAGAGAAACGCATACGGACACTCAGAGGAGGCGCAGTGCTGAAGTCAAATTCGGAGGTGCGGAGTGCGTGGAGCAGGCTGGCGGCGGAGGGCGCGGTTGGCGTTTTCAATCGGGAGGGAGTCGCAGACTCTGAGCTCCAGATCCGGGCGAGTCTTTAGGGACCCAGACTCAAACGGGAGAAGCGGGACTGTCTGGCTTCGGTCAGAGCGAGTGCAGCTTTCTCTCTGAGCTTTGCAGTGGGTGCTGGGACTCAGAGAGGCAGAGCCCCTGGGGACAGGACTGAGAGCCGCCATAACTGCTCTCTCCGGCCCACCCTGTTGATCCTGTGCGACCTGCCCCGCCCAAGCCCTGCACACAGGCATTTGCCGGATAGCCTCAGGCAAATGCCAGATTAGCACCTCCCTAGAGGACAGAAGTTCTCTCACTGCTGACACAGCTGATTCTCATAGCCACTTGGCCTGGAGGTCAAACCCTCCCTGGAATTAGCTACAACAATCAAGATTTAACTATAAGACTGCGAACAAAGACCACTAGGGGGTGCACCAAGGAAGCATAACAAAATGCGGAGACAAAGAAACAGGACAAAATTGTCAATGGAAGATATAGAGTTCAGAACCACACTTTTAAGGTCTCTCAAGAACTGTTTAGAAGCCGCCGATAAACTTAATGAGATCTACAAGAAAACTAATAAGACCCTCGATCTTATATTGGGGAACCAACTAGGAATTAAGCATACACGGACTGAAATAACGAATATTATACAGACTCCCGACAGCAGACCAGAGGAGCACAAGAATCAAGTCAATGATTTGAAATGCGAGGAAGCAAAAAACACCCAACCGGAAAAGCAAAATGAAAAAAGAATCCAAAAATGCGAGGATAGTGTAAGGAGCCTCTGGGACAGCTTCAAGCGTACCAGCATCAGAATTATAGGGGTGCCAGAAGATGAGAGAGAGCAAGATATTGAAAACCTATTTGAAGAAATAATGACAGAAAACTTCCCCCACCTGGTGAAAGAAATGGACTTACAGGTCCAAGAAGCGCAGAGAACCCCAAACAAAAGGAATCCAAAGAGGACCACACCAAGACACATCATCATTAAAATGCCAAGAGCAAAAGATAAAGAGAGAATCTTAAAAACTGCAAGAGAAAGAAACTCAGTTACCTACAAGGGAATACCCATACGACTGTCAGCTGGTTTCTCAACAGAAACTTTGCAGGCCAGAAGGGAGTGGCAAGAAATATTCAAAGTGATGAATACCAAGAACCTACAACCAAGATTACTTTATCCAGCAAAGCTATCATTCAGAATTGAAGGTCAGATAAAGAGCTTCACAGATAAGGAAAAGCTAAAGGAGTTCATCACCACCAAACCAGGATTATATGAAATGCTGAAAGGTGTCCTTTAAGAAGAGGAAGAGGAAGAAAAAGGTAAAGATACAAATTATGAACAACAAATATGCATCTATCAACAAGTGAATCTAAGAATCAAGTGAATAAATAATCTGATGAACAGAATGAACTGTTGATTATAATAGAATCAGGGACATAGAAAGGGAATGGACTGACTATTCCTGGGGGGGAAAGGGGTGTGGGAGATGCGGGAAGAGACTGGACAAAAATCGTGCACCTATGGATGAGGACAGTGGGTGGGGAGTGAGGGCGGAGGGTGGGGCGGGAACTGGGAGGAGGGGAGTTATGGGGGGAAAAAAAAGAGGAACAAATGTAATAATCTGAACAATAAAGATTTAATTAAAAAAAAAAGAATGCCAACTGATAAATGTAGAACAGACGATGGGCATTTTAGAAACTGCACAGTATATTTGGCAAGGACCACAGTGATTCAGGCGAAGTCATTGGTAAAGGTCAAGCAAGTCAGGCAGAGGTGGATGAAGAAAAAGATGACGGTGGGATCTCGGAACCTCTCCCTACAGAACACTAATCAACCTACAAATGGAGAAAGGGAGAAACCTCACAGACACTGCCATGACTGGCACTGGAGATCAGTATCACCCACGGCAGGACGGGCTGCAATCTTGTGCCCCAGATGAGCACCGTTTCTGTTGTCTTCCTACTGAAAAAACACATCCGGTCCTGTCCTGATGACACATCTACGGACCCTGAGTGAGTCATCTTGTGTACGTGCCATTGAGTGCACTCGGACTCCTGGCAACCCTGTGATGAGTGACGTTGTGTCCTGTCCTCCGTAGCCCTGCTCAGCTCTTGGAGACTCAGCTGGTGGCTTCTGTGATGGAGGCCATCCATCTCCTATTGGGTCTTTCTCTTTCACTGTTGCTTTCTATTTTTTCCAGCACTGTCTTTTCCAAAGAACCCTGACTACTTCTATGTATGAATAGTCTGTGTGTTTTTTAATGTTTTTTAATTGATTTTTAGAGAGGAAGGGAGAGGGACAGATAGAGACATCACTGAGAGAGAAACATCAATGGGCTGCCTCCTACTGGGGGTCGAGCCCACAACCTAGGCATGTGCCCTGACCAGAAATGGAATAGGATACCTTTTTTTTGTTGTTGTTAATCCTCACCTGAGGGTATTATTTTTTCCCCACCGATTTTTAGACAGAGTGGGAGGGGGAGAGACAGAGAGACACACATTAATTTGTTGCCTCTCTCATGTGCCCAGACTGGGGCCAGAGATTGAACCTCCAGTCTTCGGGAGCTACGTGCTGTTGACTGGAATCGAACTCGGGACCCTTCAGTCCATGGCGTGGGCTAATGCTCCCACCACTGAGCAAACTGGCTAGGGCGAACCGGTGACTTCTTGGTTCATGGGTTGACACTCAACCAGAGTCACACTGGCGGGGCAAAAGTCTGTGATTTTTCTTTTTGGTGTATGTGTGTGTTTCTGTCATTAATCCTCATCTGAGGATATTTTCCCATTGATTTCTAGAGAAAGTGGAAGGGAGGGGGAGGCAGAGAGAGAACATCAATGTGAGAGAGACACACAGATTGGTGGCCGGCCACGTGCCACGACCAGGGCCAGGGATTGAACCTGTAACCAAGTTATGTGCCCTTGATCAGAATAGAACCTGGGACCCTTTAGTCTACAGGCTGATGCTCTATCCACTGAGCCAAACCAGTTAGGGCAAAAGTCTATGATTTTTAATTAACACTGAAAAACTATCAGGGACAGGAATGACAGAGGACCGGTCCTAGGTTGGAGGGGACTAAACATGAGATTGTGGGTGAGATCCTGGGGGTGGGGAGTGGGGAACACTGTTGACAGAATTCAAATGGGGTCTGTGGATTGAAACAGTATTGTTTGAACGGTGACTTTATCTGCATGGTTGGGTGGAGAATTGTTATGTAGGAGTGTCTGCTTTTAGGGAAAGACACAAGGGAGTATCCGGGCTTCCTGTCATGTGTAGAGCATGCTCTCAAACAGCTCAGAAAAAGACTGGGGTAAATGAGCATCTCTATAATAATAAAGGGGTAATATGCTAATTGACCTTCCTGACGAAGTGGGGGGCCTGGAGGAAGGTGGGGGGGGTGGGGGGGAGGAAGCCCGGGGCCTGGGTCCTGAGTACCGGAGAAAGGTGGGCGCCAGCGGAAAGGCCTTCTCTTGCATGAATTTTCGTGCACTGGGCCTCTAGCATGTGCATAAATGCGCGTGCACGCCCGCGCACACACGTACACACACAGTCTAACCTTGCTGTTTTCCACTCCACCTTTGTGCACCTGCCTACTTGCTGAGACCCGTAACTCCAGAATCAAGGCTTGCAGAGCTTCCTGGGCGGTTGGGCCCCGGCCAGGGTGCAGGAACCCTGCAGGCGGACCGGCGGGCACAGTCCCAGCGGAGGTCCCACAGGTGCCACTGCTTTCTTGTTTCCGCTCCGATAGGTGAACGGGGTCTGCCTGGCGGCGGGGTCCGTGGGGCGCTGGCATTTCCGTGCTTCCTGTGGCGTCTGCTCTGCGGACGGCCAAGTGGGCGCCCCGGAAGGCTGTGCGGTGAGACACGGAGGAAAGACGGCGGTGGGGGAGCAAGTTCAGGCAGCCGCCGTTTCAACCTTTCGACGGAAACACAGGGAGCCGGCTCACCGGGCTCACAGACGAGCAGCGATGGCCCTTGTGGGGGACGTCGTTACGTCATGACGTCGTGACGCTGAGGCGACGCCTGGTGAGTGCGGGTGCCATGGTCACGTCCCGGCCCATGGCCAGGCCCACGCCCCACAGTGGGGCCTGCGGTCAGGCACCGACAGGCGGCTCGGACCCGACTCAGCCATGGCGGTACGGCCGCAGTTTTATGCACCTTTAACCATCCGCGTTCTTCCGGAAAGAAGGGCTTTTTCTCCCCCGGCGGCGCCCGAGAACCGGGGCCGACCCGGCACCCCAGCCTCGCTGACCCCGCGGGCCACTGCCCTGACAGCTGCGTACCTCGCTGCGGCCCTCCGCGCCACCCGCCGGCGCCGCCCAGCGCGGTCCGTCCAGCGCGGCCCGTCCATCTGCGCGGGCCGCGAGGCCAAGCGGCCGCTCGCGCCCGGACTCCGCTTTCCCGCGCCTGGCGGTGAGCCCAGTGCGCCTGCGTGGAGCTGCGTCACGGTGACTGCGCAGCTCTGACTGCGCTTCGAGAAGCTGCGCGCCGGTTCGAGAAGGGAGGCGGGGCGTCGAGGAGTGGGCGGGCCGACGCGGTCGCGACAAGACGGGATTGGTCAGACTTTTGATGACGTTTCGGGGCGCGCCCTGAACGGCGGGACGGGATTGGCCTCTCCGGAGGCGTCGTCAGCGGGGTGCTCAGTAACGCGGGCGTCCTGGCGGTTCTCTGACGCGTCAGCCGTGAATAAATGGCAGGGACCTTGGGGTGGCGCGATGTCGCTCTCTCTCCCAGGCTCGGGCGGGCCGCGGTCGCTTCTGGGGCCCAGTTTCCCCCGTCCTTTTGGCCTTGGGCCGCGGAAGAGGACCACCCCGTTCCCCGGCTGCGCCACCTCCGGCTCGCCTCCGCGGCTGCGCCGGCCTTCGACGAGAGCCAGGTGCGGGGCCGGGGTCCAGGCTGGGGGCGGGGCTGGCGCTGGGCAGGAGCAGCGGGGCCGGGGTCCAGGGCTGAGGCCGGGGCCGGGGCCCGGGGTCCAGGCTGGGGGCGGGGCTGGCGCTGGGCAGGAGCAGCGGGGCCGGGGTCCAGGGCTGAGGCCGGGGCCGGGGCCGGGGTCCAGGCTGGGGGCGGGGCTGGCGCTGGGCAGGAGCAGCGGGGCCGGGGTCCAGGGCTGAGGCCGGGGCCGGGGTCCAGGCTGGGGGCGGGGCGCAGTGACCGCCGTCCGGGGCTGGGGCCGGGGTCCAGGCTTGGGGTGGGGCGCAGTGACCGCGGTCCAGGGCTGGAGCTGGGGCCGGGGTCCAGGCTGGGGGCGGGGCTGACGCTGGGCAGGAGCAGCGGGGCCGGGGTCCAGGGCTGAGGCCGGGGCCGGGGTCCGGGCTGGGGGCGGGGCTGACGCTGGGCAGGAGCAGCGGGGCCGGGGTCCAGGGCTGAGGCCGGGGCCGGGGTCCGGGCTGGGGGCGGGGCTGACGCTGGGCAGGAGCAGCGGGGCCGGGTCCAGGGCTGAGGCCGGGGCCGGGGTCCGGGCTGGGGGAGGGGCTGACGCTGGGCAGGAGCAGCGGGGCCGGGTCCAGGGCTGAGGCCGGGGCCGGGGTCCGGGCTGGGGGCGGGGCGCAGTGACCGCGGTCCAGGGCAGGGGCCGCAGCAGGGTTCCAGCCTGTGGGACGGATTAGCGCGCTAATGTTCCAGCAGGGCTACCCCGGGTCAGGCTCTCAAGCCCCTGCTGCGGTGTCCGGGACCGAGGTCGGAGCACCTCCAGGGTTGACAGTAGAGGACGGATCTGCGGTTGGGAACCGACCGTGCGGGGAGGGTTGCGGGAGCCCGGAAGAGCCGCGGCTCCGTGGCTTGGGTGCGGCGGTGAGGATGGCAGCAGAGGCCCTTTGGAGGGAGCGACCCTGCACCGACGCGAGGGGGCAGCATAGGAGACGCTCCCCGGAGGGACGGTCCGGAAGGCCGTCGGGGTTTGAGCTCTGGGAGGGACGAGAGTTCTCAGACCAGGCGGGGGCCGGTCCCCGAGGGCGCCTGGGGAGGCGCAGTCGCTTCTCCAGTTGTCTCCGTTTTCCACGGTGAGTCAACAGCTTGCCGCCTCCCTGATGAGCCCCAGATTGTCGTTAAGGAACAAGTTCTAAGTAAAACCCGATGCATAAGGGGAAGTCGTCACCTAGTGTGACTTAGCACCTGGTAACAGAGGGTTGTTTATGTCCCCAAGTGTATCCAGTAGAAGGAATTAATTGTGCCCTAAGCGCTACCGGGGCTGCAACTTCCACTGGCAGCCGCTAGATTGAAAATGGGAAGCCCTGCCCACACGAGTCAAACTTTGGTTTCGCTGAAATCCTGAATAGGGGTGAGCTCCACAAGACAGGAAGGGAAAGGACTGAAAAACTGCATCTCAATGGGCTTGATTCCAAATGAGCCGGTACTTGTGTCCCCCCCACCCCCCACCCCCATTTTTCTCTTTGTTGAAAGAAAAGAATTTGTGAATCTTTCCTCCCGAAGGGGCCCGGGCTGACGGGGACATTTATTAACGGTCCCTACAGAGCATATTTGCCTGCTCTCTTTAGCTGCAAGTTACAAATCCTGGTGGCCAGCACCAGCCGCCCATGCGCTCCTCCTAACGGTTCTAGTTCTCCTAGGTGCTGCTACACTCTGCCCTCTGTGTTCGGGACACTTTCTCCCCATGGAGTTCCCTGACTTGGGGAAGCATTGTGCAGAAGAGACCTGCAAGCAGCTAGGTAAGCACTTTTAAGAGATGTTAATAGGAAATGGGTATTTTGTTGGCTATTTTGTAGGGGAGAAATGGCCGCTATATTAGTTGCCAGGGCCAAGTGGATAGAAGTGAGAAGTGCGCTGCTGAAATACTCGTGATGGACTCTCCTTTGAAAAGATAGTTTTATAGGTTCCTCAGTGTTGCTGGCACTGTGAAGTTCGTGACCCCCCATTTTTTTCTCATGAGGAGTACCTCAAAGATGTATTTGACAGTCGGTCATAAAGAAGTTAGTGTAGGTGAATACCTGTTTATTATCCTATCCTATATAATTAAACCCTAATACGCAATCCACCAAACGGCAAATCGACCAGTCACTATGATGCGCACTGACCACCAGGGGCCAGACACTCAATGCAGGAGCTGCCCCCTGGTGGTCAGTGTACTCCCACAGGGAGAGCACTGCTCAGCCAGGAGCCAGGCTCATGGCTGGAGAGCACAACAATGATGGCAGGAGCCTCTCCCGCCTCCACAGCACTAAGAGCAGCCAGCCGAGCTGTAAGGAGCAGCTAGCAGGCGGGTGGTAAGGAGCGAGGGGTCCTGGACTGTGAGAGGTGCAGGCTGGGTTGAGGGACCCCCTGGTCCCACACAGTGTACAGATTTTGTGCACCGGGCCTCTAGTCCTATATAATAAAAGCCTAATATGCTATGTGTTCAGCCGTTGGTTCAACCAGTCACTATGACACACACTGATGACCAGGGGGCAGACACTCTGACCGGTAGGTTAGCTTCCTGCTGGGGTCTGGTTAATTGGGACTAGGCTAGATGATCCAGACACACCCTGGAGCCCTCCTGCAGTCCCTCCCCAGCCCCAATCGTGCAGCAGTGGGGTCCCTTGGCCTAGCCTGTGACCTCTTGCAATCCAGGACCCCTCGGGGGATGTCTGCAGGCCAGGCCAAGGGACTCCACTGGTGCACAAATCCAGGCACTGGGCCTCTAGTCTCTCTATATATAAAAGGCTAAGTGTCTGTCCGACTGGTTGCTGTGATGTGCACTGACCACCAGGGGGCATATGCTCAATGCAGGAGCTGCCATGACTCACATTGGCCATTTAAATATAATAAATGACACCACGGAGCTGATGCCAACAAACCAACACTCAGCTTCCCCCAAGTAGGACACAGGCCCCACCACCACCTCGGGGCAACACCCCACTGAATCACAATGCTGCCAAGACCCCATGGCATAAAGTACTGCCCATAGTCCAGCCCAGCCTGGAAGGGTTCACTGTGGGTGCCGGGTAATGATGTCACATAGCAACGCCCAGCTTCCTCTCCCTAGCAACTAACCTCCTTGCAGTTTCTTCAGCTCAGGAACATGACTTGCTTTATAGCCAGGTGCAGACATTTTACAATTTAACCAAATGTTTGTGAAGCGTTTTCCCGTGTCTCATCTCATTTGATCCTCACTGAAGTCCTGGAATAGGCAGATAGGAGACTCAGTGGAATCCTATTTTCTTTTCATTAGCCAGAAAATGGAGATTTAGAAAGTTTAGAAACTTGACCTGACTGAAAAGAATGATGGAACTTGAAAATGACTTCAGGTTTTCTCACTGTGCAGAATATAGTCAGACACGGCTGCAGTTAAATATTTTACCCTTGGTTCTCCCTGCGTGATCTACAATAATAACCTGCTTCGTGTTGATATTTCCTGCTGTGTTGCTGACAGTTACCTGGAAGAGAAGTTGGGGTGCTTCACTGGACTGGAAAAAGTTTAGCTGCATCAGAAAGCAGGTCTAATGAAGCAAGTTTGTATATATTAGAGGCCTGGTCCACGAATTCGTCCAAGGGACCCCACTGGTGCACCATCAGGGCTGGGGAGGAATGCGGGAGGGCTTCAGGGTCTGTCTGGTGCAGTCCCAATCAGCTGGACGCCAGCAGCAAGCTAACCTACCGGTCGACTGTCTGCCCCCTGGTGGTCAGTGCACATCATAGCGAGCAGTTGAGCAGCCTTAGCATATATCATTAGCATATTACGCTTTGGTTGGTTGAATGGCTGACCTGTCGACCCGCCACTTAGCATATTAGGCTTTTCTTATATAGAATAAAGCTCTCACTGGCACCAATCGTACACATGGGTTTCAATCTGTCATTGTCGATCGTGAATCTGGTTGACACTCCTACTACAAAGAAAGGGCGAATAGCAATATTAAAATATTTCTTCTAATTAATTTCCTTTCAATGTGCATGAATTCGTGCACCTGGACACTTGTTTAAAAATGAATGATGACTCGAGCACGCACAATACATATAAGTTCTTGGAATGGATATTATTGAAATCCCCTGTGAAATGATTTGTAACGGATATATTATTGAAGCTACCTTTGGAAATAGTATATCTATAGATAATAAAAATATATCTAAGCATGCGATTCTTTGTCCTAAAAATGAGCATGTTCATAAATTAAATGAAGAAATTTTGGATATACTCGATGGAGATTTTCACATCTATTTGAGTGCTGATTCCATCAATTCAATGGATGATGCTGAGAAGGAAAATTTTCCCATCGAATTTCTTAATAGTATTATTCCTTCGGGAATGCCGGGTCATAAGTTAAAATTGAAAGTAGACACAATCCTCATGCTACTGAGAAATCTTAATAGTAAATGGGGTCTTTGTAATGGTACTAGATTTATTATCAAAAGATTGCGACCTAACATAATCGAAGCTGAAGTATTAACAGGATCTGCAGAGGGAGAGGTTGTTCTCATTCCAAGAATTGATTTGTCCTCATCTGACACTGGCCTCTCATTTAAATTAATTCGAAGACAGTTTCCCGTGATGCCAGCGTTTGCGATGACAATTAATAAATCACCAGGGCAAAGTAGACAGAGTAGGAATATTCCTACCTGAACCTGCTTTCACACATGGTCAGTTACATGTTGCTTTCTCTCAAGTTTGAAGAGT